TGCTGTTCTGTTGTAAGTCATCTTAAAGATTTCTAAATGCATCTACTTCCGGAAGGCCAAATAAAGTGCTTTTGCTTTCGCCTAGAAACACACAGCGTCTCCCTGACATGCTGCTTCAACACTAACTGCGGTTACTGAAACCACGCCTTCTTTCTTTGCGTGCACATTTGGGCGCATTATGCAAATATTCCCACATAGTGAGGTAGATATGTGGGGGCGTGTTAGAATGAGCTGTTTTAGGGGGGCGTGGCAGAGTCTTAACTTTGATAAAGAATATCTCTTTGGTTTTGAGACTTTAGTCTTTGCAACTTCAGGGATCTTATCTATGCACAATCAGCTTGTAACACTCCAAAGAGAAAGAACAACTTGAAATCGCATCATATGACCCCTTTAATTCCGTATTTTTGGACAATATCCACTCATCATGACAGTAAAATAGGGTAAAATAGGGCGTTCTAAGTCAATATACTGCAGTATTTCCTCTCAATCTGTAGAAAATATGGTTAACAAAAAATACCGTCTTGTACCTTGAAACCGGTATCATTTTGAAAAATACCGTGATGTAAATGTTTGGTCATCCTAATATTGAGTTAGAAAGTAACACAAAAACAACGAGATCATCCAGATAAACCGGTCCACGTGTAAACACAACAACAGCCGATCTGCCGGCTAGTTATCAGTTAGCATTAGCTGTGATGCTAACCGGCCGGGCCCTAAGAAAACGCCATGTTCTGCCTCTCGGACTTTCCTCGTGTTGTCAGGGAAACGAGCGGTTTAGTCGCGCGCTTACCTGTAGACGAGAGCTCTAACTGACCGCGAACGGTCTGCCGTTTGTAAGGTGTGCCGGTTAGAACGAGTAACGGACAGCAGCGCTCCGGTCACCGGACACTGTACAGCATTTCACTCGGGTCGCTTCCTGGTCGGGTCACGTGGTGCTCGGCGACGCCTCTGATTGGTCCGATGACTCCGCACTCCGGCCACATAGCCGAGATCGATTATAGTTTTTAGTAATTTCACATTTAGTAATGCATGTATGTAATCAGTTTGTGTCTCGCTATATATATGTACTTTTATAAACAATGTATGAATTGATTTAAACGGGGTTAGTATTTTGGCTGCACAGTCATTTCCGAAATCGAAATAAATATACATCTTCAGTTTCTTTATTATTATTATTATTATTATTCATTTGCTTAAATTGGGACTACATTATTATGTAGTTATTTGTTCCATTTTTATCTAAATAATTTAGCACTTTTTAAAATGCCAAAATGTATGACAAATATGATGATTTATTATGTGTTTATGATTATGATAACTTGATAAATAGGGCCTAGCATTAATTATAATCTATTACTTCATCTGTCTAATAATGTCTAAGAATATAATAATTATGTCTACCAAGCTCTGATAAAGTAAGGAATATTATATTAACAGACTATACAAATTTGTATTGCTTTTAATTAATTTAATTTAATTTTAAAACAATACCTTTAGAAGCATGGATGCGTCTGTCACATTATGAAAGATGGCTAATAATCCATCTAGAATCTGCATTAAAGTTAAGAATTTAAAGACGAAGTTTAACTGGTTATGTAATAATGTCAATAGGTATCTATGTATGTATCTTCTTAAAATATATGATATGTATGACGTGTAGCTGTGTCATTTATATTTGCCTAATTATAAAAGCATTTCATTTTGACGAACTTACTCTGGTGAGTAAAATACACAATGTACTAACAATGGTCAATGCGGAGAAATAAAGCTCACAATATACTGTGTTCACTTCTAGTAAGATCTGCATTTTAGCACTTTTTGTCAGTAAATATTGAGATATGTGACTGTATTAGCTCTATGTAATTCATTTGACTGATTGTTTTAACACTTTTTGTCAAGTAGTTTTATTAGCAATGACTCTTTTGACCTCAAAATAACCTCAAAACGCACTGAACACATTAGTTACGTCAACACAAAAGTAAACTTCACTTTTACAAATGTACAGAGATTTAATGCAATTAAAACCTAAATTCCACTCACACTCACTCACTCACTCACTCACTCACACTCACTCACACACACTCACTCACACACACACACTCACTCACTCACTCACTCACTCACACTCACTCACACACACTCACTCACACACACACACTCACTCACTCACTCACTCACTCACACTCACTCACACACACTCACTCACACACACACACTCACTCACTCACTCACTCACTCACACTCACTCACACACACTCACTCACACACACACACTCACTCACTCACTCACTCACTCACACTCACTCACACACACTCACTCACACACACACACTCACTCACTCACTCACTCACTCACACTCACTCACACACACTCACTCACACACACACACTCACTCACTCACTCACTCACTCACACTCACTCACACACACTCACTCACACACACACACTCACTCACTCACTCACTCACTCACACTCACTCACACACACTCACTCACACACACACACTCACTCACTCACTCACTCACTCACACTCACTCACACACACTCACTCACACACACACACTCACTCACTCACTCACTCACTCACACTCACTCACACACACTCACTCACACACACACACTCACTCACTCACTCACTCACTCACACTCACTCACACACACTCACTCACACACACACACTCACTCACTCACTCACTCACTCACACTCACTCACACACACTCACTCACACACACACACTCACTCACTCACTCACTCACTCACACTCACTCACACACACTCACTCACACACACACACTCACTCACTCACTCACTCACTCACACTCACTCACACACACTCACTCACACACACACACTCACTCACTCACTCACTCACTCACACTCACTCACACACACTCACTCACACACACACACTCACTCACTCACTCACTCACTCACACTCACTCACACACACTCACTCACACACACACACTCACTCACTCACTCACTCACTCACACTCACTCACACACACTCACTCACACACACACACTCACTCACTCACTCACTCACTCACACTCACTCACACACACTCACTCACACACACACACTCACTCACTCACTCACTCACTCACACTCACTCACACACACTCACTCACACACACACACTCACTCACTCACTCACTCACTCACACTCACTCACACACACTCACTCACACACACACACTCACTCACTCACTCACTCACTCACACTCACTCACACACACTCACTCACACACACACACTCACTCACTCACTCACTCACTCACACTCACTCACACACACTCACTCACACACACACACTCACTCACTCACTCACTCACTCACACTCACTCACACACACTCACTCACACACACACACTCACTCACTCACTCACTCACTCACACTCACTCACACACACTCACTCACACACACACACTCACTCACTCACTCACTCACTCACACTCACTCACACACACTCACTCACACACACACACTCACTCACTCACTCACTCACTCACACTCACTCACACACACTCACTCACACACACACACTCACTCACTCACTCACTCACTCACACTCACTCACACACACTCACTCACACACACACACTCACTCACTCACTCACTCACTCACACTCACTCACACACACTCACTCACACACACACACTCACTCACTCACTCACTCACTCACACTCACTCACACACACTCACTCACACACACACACTCACTCACTCACTCACTCACTCACACTCACTCACACACACTCACTCACACACACACACTCACTCACTCACTCACTCACTCACACTCACTCACACACACTCACTCACACACACACACTCACTCACTCACTCACTCACTCACACTCACTCACACACACTCACTCACACACACACACTCACTCACTCACTCACTCACTCACACTCACTCACACACACTCACTCACACACACACACTCACTCACTCACTCACTCACTCACACTCACTCACACACACTCACTCACACACACACACTCACTCACTCACTCACTCACTCACACTCACTCACACACACTCACTCACACACACACACTCACTCACTCACTCACTCACTCACACTCACTCACACACACTCACTCACACACACACACTCACTCACTCACTCACTCACTCACACTCACTCACACACACTCACTCACACACACACACTCACTCACTCACTCACTCACTCACACTCACTCACACACACTCACTCACACACACACACTCACTCACTCACTCACTCACTCACACTCACTCACACACACTCACTCACACACACACACTCACTCACTCACTCACTCACTCACACTCACTCACACACACTCACTCACACACACACACTCACTCACTCACTCACTCACTCACACTCACTCACACACACTCACTCACACACACACACTCACTCACTCACTCACTCACTCACACTCACTCACACACACTCACTCACACACACACACTCACTCACTCACTCACTCACTCACACTCACTCACACACACTCACTCACACACACACACTCACTCACTCACTCACTCACTCACACTCACTCACACACACTCACTCACACACACACACTCACTCACTCACTCACTCACTCACACTCACTCACACACACTCACTCACACACACACACTCACTCACTCACTCACTCACTCACACTCACTCACACACACTCACTCACACACACACACTCACTCACTCACTCACTCACTCACACTCACTCACACACACTCACTCACACACACACACTCACTCACTCACTCACTCACTCACACTCACTCACACACACTCACTCACACACACACACTCACTCACTCACTCACTCACTCACACTCACTCACACACACTCACTCACACACACACACTCACTCACTCACTCACTCACTCACACTCACTCACACACACTCACTCACACACACACACTCACTCACTCACTCACTCACTCACACTCACTCACACACACTCACTCACACACACACACTCACTCACTCACTCACTCACTCACACTCACTCACACACACTCACTCACACACACACACTCACTCACTCACTCACTCACTCACACTCACTCACACACACTCACTCACACACACACACTCACTCACTCACTCACTCACTCACACTCACTCACACACACTCACTCACACACACACACTCACTCACTCACTCACTCACTCACACTCACTCACACACACTCACTCACACACACACACTCACTCACTCACTCACTCACTCACACTCACTCACACACACTCACTCACACACACACACTCACTCACTCACTCACTCACTCACACTCACTCACACACACTCACTCACACACACACACTCACTCACTCACTCACTCACTCACACTCACTCACACACACTCACTCACACACACACACTCACTCACTCACTCACTCACTCACACTCACTCACACACACTCACTCACACACACACACTCACTCACTCACTCACTCACTCACACTCACTCACACACACTCACTCACACACACACACTCACTCACTCACTCACTCACTCACACTCACTCACACACACTCACTCACACACACACACTCACTCACTCACTCACTCACTCACACTCACTCACACACACTCACTCACACACACACACACTCACACACACACACACACACACACAGTAATATAATTATAGAAAGAGTGTTATAGCTTACTTTGGTTCAAGAAGATTCTTATAATTAAAATATATATATTATTGTGTTTTGTTACTCTACTGCATCTGATGTGTGAGTCTTCCAATTCATTAGCCACTAAATAAGAAGATAAAGTGCGCTAAACTATAAAACGAACTAATTAAAATAATATTGCAAATTGGTATTTCTCATCATATTAAGCAGCATACGAGGACTTCACCTGATGAATATGCTGCATTACAAAGA